CATGTTTATGATTTTTTGAGAAAATTCATATACCCCTTTTTAGGGATTTCCCGGTGAGTTTTCTTGACTCGTTAGCTTGAATTTGGTTGTGACGATGATACCTTGCTCTGATGATTTTCGTGGCATGATGGAAGAAAGCTTAGCACATTTTCACCGGAGTCTAAGGAGATTGCCTCGGAAACAGCGTCAGCATGAATGTTCCGGGAAAGCCAATCGACAGCCGGTCAAGAGGAATCCGCTGTCGTCTTCCGGCGGAACCCACCTTCGAGTCTCTTCACTCAACACTTTAGCTCCAAATGGAAGTAAGCTCAACAATTGTGCAACAAGAGATTGCTCGAAACCCAACTTTTCTTTGCATATATTTTGATGCAATGTCTGCCCAGGTGGGTTCGCGGATTGTCAAGATGCCATTTGGGAGACGGTCCTGACTGTCTTTTGGTGTTCTGATCAGATTGGATGGACAAACTCTTCGGGACTCAAACGAATGTGCCAGATTCGGCTGCTCCGTCTCGACGTCTGCAGACTGGACACTCGGGCAGAAGCTTCATTTACAGACTGTAAGATCTGGAGCCGACATGTTTCTTCCTGTTCAGTCGAGCTCTTCTGCATCTCCGGACGTCAACATGTGTGGCACTGAATGTTCAGATTGACCAAACTATTGTTTGTATGCCTGTGCCTCTTTGTCTGTCTGTTTGTTTGTTTGTACGTCTGTCTGCATTTCACGATACACATCGAGACGACAGGCCTGGATGTGGCCGAAAACATGTGCCTGGGCTCGTCGCTGATCAGCACTACTCGCCGCTGCTCGATTGCCCCAAGGCAGACACCCATTTCGCTGCAGCCCCGTCGTGTGGCTTTTATACTTTTCTCCACTCCGTCGTTTGCCCCACTCGCCTACAGCCTGGCCAAGCCTCTCAGCAACCATGCCTCGTAGGTCCGACAAGATCAAGCTGCTCGCTGCCTCGGAGAGTCGTCTGCGTCGCGCCCTAAAATGGCTTTTCACACTGTTTACAATGTGTATATGCGTATGTGATTGTAGGTGTCTGTGTATAAGTGTGTATGTATGTATGTATGTGTGTATATGTGAATGACCGTAGGTGTGTATGAGTGTGTGTCAGTGTCTGTGTCTTCGTATGAGTGTGCATGTGTGTGAATATGTGAATGGGCGTAGGTGTGTATGTATGTGTTTTTGTATGATTGTGTGTGTGTGTGTAGTTTATCTCGGGTTACAATGGCTGATGAGTGCGTGCAAGTGTTGCACTCGAACCGACATGTCGGCACATGCTATCGCTCGTCGGCCATTCTACTCGGGGCGCCGAGAGTGCCTCGGGTGTGCCGACAACCCCTGCATCGTCATGCCGACAGTTTTGAGGCTGGAGTGGGCATTTTGTCGTGTGGCCGCCGGGACAAAGTCCCCCAGCGACAGGTCATCGTTGCTTTTCGACTGGCGGTCAGTTGGGCCAGTTGGTGCTGGGCTTCAGTTTGTTTGGAGAGACGATCTGTTCGAGAAGCCGGTTCGAGAAGCGCTTTTCGTTGTCGTTCTTTCTACGAGCTTGTAGAGTCTCTCAGAACAAGCCTCCAACGAGCCACAATCGGGCGCCTCGAGAGCAGGTCTGGAGGCGCAGACAGGACGGAAACGGACAGGACATGTGGTCCATTCGGTTGGGAGGACAATGCCGCCGAGGGCAGTTGGCCTTTCAACTCAATCCTGTCGGCGGCCTGGGCCAGACTGAATTGGAGGCGCTGGTACAGCTGACACGACAATGTTTCGCAGAATTTCAAGGTTTCTTTTGACTAATTTATAGCAAAAATCTCATCTTTTATGCATTGCTAGACATGCATATTGGTCCATTTTGTGTAGCTATGACAACTCAGATTGGATACAGTCGAGGTAGCCATTGGAATGAGGTGAAAGGGGTTGAAGAAAATAACATTTGGTCGCATTTACTCGTCGTGAAGGGGAGTGAAGTATGTGGCATTATTGTGCTTCATCTGCTTGTGCTAGATTGAAATTGTGTGTCACATGAGTGCAGCTCATGGCAAGGGAATGGAATGTGATGTACCACGCTGCGCTCTGCCGCAGATGGGCAACTCAACGTAAAGAGATAGAGACCGGAATGCAAAGCATTAGAATAGATTCGATTGGAATGAATACAATGAAAGTGAAGCCGAAGGGCAATGCATTGGATTGCATTTTGCTGATTTCAACTGGGCGCGAAATAAATAAGAAAGCAGCTTGAAACAAGACACAAGCTTGCAAAGAGTAAAGATACGGCAAGACTGGGCGAAAGAAGCACTGGCAGAGGGTAATTGAGCAGAAAAATAAGTCCTTCTTGGCCTTAATTCCATCCGCTCACCAGCACATAATCACACACATACATGCATAAATAAATAAATAAATAAATAAAGAAAGAAAGAAAGAAAGAAATACAGAAATAAATAAAGAAATAAAGAAAGAAAGAAAGAAATACAGAAATAAATAATTAATTAATTAGTTAAATATTTAAATAAATAAATAA